TCCTGTGGAGTTTTGCTCCAGTCTTAGCACTGTGATCTGTACATTAAATCAACTCTGCTGGGAGTGATGTGAGTGAGTCACTCCATCCAGCTGCTCGGCCATGTTCACGTGTCCGCTTGACTTTCTTTTGCCAAAGTCATTATCCCAAGTCAGTTTATTAGTCATTTGTATCATTTTAGTAGGCTCACTAAAAGATGGCATCAGCCTTTGCATGGCCGTCAGGGAGGGCGAGGGTGGGCGAGTAGGTAGATTTAATTCCAAATGTGTACTAATATTACAATACAGCACATAAGTTTAATATTTTATGTTAAAATGACTGAAATTGGAAATAACATGAATTTCTCCTCCTTGATACTGGCGAGGCAACTGATTTTGGAGAGGACCAAAAGAGCATCGACCAGCATATTAATCGGAGGTGCCAAAAGTGCGAAAAGATGGAGCCCGATGTGGACATCATCAACCAACACCTTCAGAAAATAGAAACAAAAACAAAACAGACAGACAGACATGACACTAGCAAAGGAAAAGTTTTAAATTTTGACTTGAAGAAATAACATGAGGAATCCATTTAGGCTCAAATTGAGGTTACAAAATATGGTTCCCTATGCTAGAAAGAGATCAGTAGCATCTTTATTCCGCTCTCTTGTAAAAGCGATTGTTTCCCATGTCATGAAAAACACTTGACTCACTTCCTGTCAAGCTTTTGATTCTTTTTTGGCAACTCTCGGTCGTGGGATTGCCACATTGGTGATGGGTAGGAAAGGAGGAGCATGTGCACCTTTTTCGATGAAAAGTCCTCCAGCTGCTCAGAGGCGAGCACAGAAGTCAGCGTTGTGTCCCCAGAGAGAGAGATAGGCCTGACTGGCCATAAGGTTGCCAAGGCAACAGGGAACAGTGTAGGCATGGTGGTGGTGGTGCTGAAAGAGCTGACAGAGATGAGCGGCGATGCTAGGGGACACATTTATGCACGAAGACACTCCTTTTGGAGGAGAAATATAGAAATATATTTTTGAAACAAATTGAATTGCTCTATAAATAGCGCTGCTTAGGCGCCGTCTCAAATCGAAGGGTGCGATGCTAAGGAATGGAGCTTGCAGGCAGTCACAGAGTACATTTCATGCTTTCTAGTAAAGCACGGATGGGTAGGTCGTTTCTTTGATTCCCGCTATATTCAATAAAAGTCTGCAGCATATAAAATGTGTGAAATCACTCTCAAGATTGATGAAAAAAAAACTCAGTTCAACTTAGATTCACTGTTATGCTCTATTTTGGCTGTTAAAGATTGCTTTATCTCCACTTCAGATACCTTATTATTTTTCCTTCCTCTAAAATGAACGGTAAAATCAGGAAATAAAATCCTGACATCAATGTACAAGAAAACTTAATGTTATAACTAGAACAGACTCACATTCACAATGTCACTGAGTGGGAACTGAACCCACCCCGCCAGCACTAAAGTCAGGTGAATGCACCAGTACACCATCTCATGATTTTGTTAACGACGAGGTCTCTTTTACTGTTATTCTATTTGTCTACTAAGCTTATGTACCTCCTTTTGATTTTTGTGTTTTGACACAGTGGCCTCACTAGTCATTTGTCTCCAGCTGTTCTGTCTGCATGTGGTTGTGCTTGCCTCCACGCCTTGAAAGCACCGCACATTAGCTCATCTTTCCGGATGTGGCAAACAGTTGAGAAAAGGCACAACATTCTTGGAAATGTCTCCCTTAAAATGTCCCAAAGCATTCGTGACAAATGCGTTTTCGTCATGGCTGCTAATTAATTATCCAGAAACCCTTATTGACTTTACAAACGGAGCCTTCCCAAAACAGCTTTGTTTTGTTTTGAAGCAACTTCACTGGAACCAGGAAGATAAACGCTGTGGCTGCGCTGTTTATGTTTAAGTGCTTGGATGCCAACATGTGTACTTGTGTAAATGCGCTGTGATGCTGCATCACGTGCCTCTATTTCCTGTTGCGTCTGTCGACATCATAATAAATAGGCACCTGTCAAGAACGCTGCAATGGAACCGCCTAAATTATTCACTTCCATTAACAAAGGCCCCCATTACACATTCAATTTGTTTAGGCCGCAAAATGTCTTCAAGCAATCAATCCTAAACACGAAATGAAGAATGCATGACCAATGAGGCCTCTGTTCTAAACATGCTTTATTTACCATTAAAGGGGACATCTCGTCTTTTTTTTCACAATTTAAAAGTTTCCGGATGTCTTAATAACATGTACTGTGTGTGACATGATTTTGTCTAAAGGCTCCAGAATAATAGGCCTGTTTACACCCAATTTTTTGTCCTGTTAAAATTAACCCATTCTGAGGAGGAGAGAGGCTTCATTGCATGCAAGTCATCCAGCCTTCACCCTGTCCCATAAACCACTGGGTCATTTTCGGAGTGTTGCTTTTGTGACTATTACAAAGGGCGGCTGCCCTTAAACAAAGATATGACATATGAGTATCGAAAGACTTTCTGTAATGTAAGGGTACCATTGTGCAGTCATACAACTCAGTGACAGCTGTGCGACAATGTGCATAGTCATCAATAGTCAGAGATAAAGTGATCAGTTGTGAAATACAAAACGATAGATACAATACAGATAATCATTGCATCATTTTTAAATGACCAATAGCAGTAATTGCAATACAACTTTAGGTGTGCAATTATACAGAAAGTCCTTGAGGGCTTTAAAGTGACTGGTGCTGTGGAATATTGATCAATGACAGTTGTTCAAGTACGTAGAAAGCTGGAGCTACAATGATCAGCGCAGTAATACTGTTCCACCGGGGTGTGGTAAAATGCAAAGAACCACTTCAGATTTGAGTTACTGTTTACGGAGTTCATGGCGAAAGGGAAGAGGCTGTTTGAATGTCTGCTGGTTTTGGTGCGCATGATTCGATAGCGCGTACCTGAAGGGAGTAGCTGGAAGAGGTGGTGGCCAGGGTGTGGAGGGTCCAGTATAATTTTCCATACCCTTATCTTGGTTCTTGCGGCGTACAAGTCCTCGAGAGTGGGGACAGTGGTGCCAAGATATGCTACTTAGATGTCCAAAGCGCCATCAGGCGAAAACCAATGTATCAAAAAAAAAAAAAAAAACAGAATACCTTTGCCTTATAAAGTTGAGTTGACAGTCCAGCTGCCAGAATCCACTTGAAAGAGGCTCTGCATCTTTAGCCCATCGCTACCAAGTCATAGGTGAAGACACCTCCAGGTGGGTGTGGGCAGTTATTATGTAAATTAGCTCCACTGTTATGTAACAGTGAGACAGAAGTGTTGAACAGCTTGCTCACAGACAGAAATAGGCAGTTAAAAAATATGAACTTGGTTGTTACATTTCACCCTATATGGGTGAGCAGACCCTGCAAAAATTACATCTTTTATACTATGTCTCTTTCACATGAACTCACCTGAACTGATGTGACCAAAAAAAGAGACATGATTTACCTTTCCAGACACACAAACCAGGGAACCAGTCCAAGCATACATTGTATATAACACCATCCTCGTGATGGATGGAGCTTGCAGGGTCAGCATTTCTCATGAGAGATACGAGAGGGGAAAAAAAAATTCCTTTAATCTCGTACCCCAAAAGTCATCTTCCACTTGAAAAATGTAGATTAATTAGTTAAGGAGATGTACGTTTAAAAAGTCACTCTTTTAGACATAAATTGACTTTTAATGTACGGTAGTTTTTTTAAATTATTATTAATCAAGAAATGTGTTTGGCAGTGCATTATTGACGGGATTTCAACACACATTTTGAATTCTGACTTTGAAGTATGACTCAGGAAGTAGAGGTGGGGCAAAATATCAATAAAACAATGGATCAGAACATGATAGAGTATTGATACACAAGTATCAAAATGTCAGTAGAGTATGCTAACATGCAGGCAGTTCTGCTTCAGCAGTATTGATTTCTTCATGGCTCAATATTTCAGGGTACCTCATGGTGGCACTTCTCAAAGGAAAATTACCTGTTCCCATTATAAAATGTTGATCAACTGTGAGGTGTTTTAACGTCTTACTTGGGACTTTGTCGAGTTTCTTGGCCGAGCATAATATTTCCTTTCCTACGCTGTCTTTGAAGGAATTTGATACTTTGTTCTTCATATTTTGTTGTGGAAGGGAATGTGCAGTTTTTCCATTTCAATTTGCATGTATGGAAAAAAAATGTTTGGGAGTTTTAGGTTTCATTAACTTTTTATTAAAATCATGGCTACTGCATACTGCTGTTTCATCAATGACGGCGTTTTGGGCAGTGGCTCACATCCCTTTATACAGTAAGTACTTGAGGTAGACTGTGAGCATTTTTTATTACACGCCGCGGGTGCAATATGTCAATTTGGTGACAGAAAAACACGCCAGTTGAAAGCAGGTCTAAGTAGTGGCGCGGGTGGTATAACACTATTTTGGTGAATTTGATCGAGGCGCAGGTAAGTGGAGATCTTTTTGCAATTCCTTTTAAATGTATTTTGTGTGCACCAATCTCTTGCATGGACACCATCAAGTCATCATGGAGACAGCGGGCCTCTCTCTGCGCTGAATTTGAAGGGAACAAGAGGAGCAATTTCCATTGGATGGCAAACAAATTGGCTGCATTCCCTCCCACAACGACGCAAACGGCCCTTTCTGCCTTTGCCAAAAGAAAGAAATCCTGAGCAGTATCATCAGTTGAGAAAATAGATGGATGGAAGCCTTGGCAGAGGTCTGCTCCAGTTATCTTCTGAAGTGTAGCCACACTGTCTCCCAACTTGATGTGTCTGCCTTCTACATGCCGACCTTGATGCGAGGCCTGCCCATTCGCCTGGCGCATCAACTCTTCTTCAACATTTAAGTACGAGAGAAAGACTTCCTTATCAGTATGTTTCCTGTGCAACTGGTGTCTCATTCTCATGAGCCGAGGTGCTGGGATGACCCTGAGCTGTCATTGTTTTTTTCGCTTGACACCATTTCCCCCCAAAAAATTCTCTCCCCTCACTGTTCCTTTTTAGACTCCGCTAACAGGTGATGGCTGTATGCTCCTGCACAAAGCTTCTTCCACACCCAAAATGTCAGCGTCTTCTTTCCTAAGATGTCCATCAATGCTCGTTCAGGCTGACAAGAGAGCCATTAGGGGCTTGGAAAAGGGCGTTTTTGCAAATGTCCATCTGCTATTCACTTTTAGCCTCTATTACATGTTGAAAGCTCTGATTATTTACTGTCTCCCTCTGAATGGTTGTTAATCACAGCTCTGTGCAGGTGCATCATGAGCATGTTTAATCATCCTGCAGAAAATATACAAGGACACACAAACACACACACACACACACACACACACACACACACACACACACCCTCCCCCACCTCCTGCAGAACACAACTGTTTCCCTCGCCCATGATGTAATGCTACCAGACCCCTCCTCTGCCATCTCTCACACACCCTCTCCATCCCCTTCGCCTCTTGCTATTGGTGGCTCCAGTCTGCATCTGCTGGATCAGCACACACACATGCACTCACTTTACACACCGGTAAGAGGAGGACGAGGAGGGGGGATTCCACGGCCACTGCAGCTTCCGATCCATCCACCTGTCCGCGGTGAGTCCCTCCTTTTTTTTTTGATAAATGACAGCAGCATGCTTCACACAATAAGACAAAAGGATGGTTTTACCTTGTCATTCAGGAGGTTAACGAAGTGGAGTGCAATAGAGCACCGGTGGTTTGGTCTTGCATCACACTGAGTCAGCTTCTTGGCTCGTGTGTGTGTTAAAGTCGTTTTCAAAGCTGGCATGCGCTCAGAGGCTGCTATCTAGGAGGGATGTCGGTCACCTTGTCGGGAGATAACGCACACTGAGGATGCAGATGATGAGGCTGCTTTAAGTTCCCCGTGAGGAGTGCAGTGATGTAGTTTGCTGTAAGTCCTGGCCAGCTGCACAATGAAGATGCACTGGCTACAAATAAAGCCCTGACAGTGTCATTATATGGAAGGCGTGTGTGTGCGTGCGTGTGTGCGTGTGTGCGTGTGTGCGTGCGTGTGTGTGTGTGTGTGTGTGTGTGTGTGTGTGTGTGTGTGTGTGTGTGTGTGTGTGTGTGTGTGTGTGTGTGTGTGTGTGTGTGTGTGTGTGTGTGTGTGTGTGTGTGTGGGGACGTGGGTGACATATGCATTGCTCCTCCTTGTCCCGGAAATCCACGGAGCTCATTCACTGGAAGGCTCTGTGGGATTTGGCAAGAGAAAATTTGTTATTTTAACCTGATCTCTACCTTTGAACCTCTCAAGAGCATAATTTTTTAAATCTATTTTAGTTTACATGTAAAATACATTTGCTCCTTTGTGACTTTATGACTTTGAATTCCAAAAGAGCAGAATTTGTTGAATATTTTTAAACTTAAAACTGTTTTTCATTTTACTGATTTTTAAGATTTTATGTTTTTTTTTTTGCGTGTAATTTTTTTTCTAATTAGTCATGTATTTTATCATGATTTCAAACTTGCAATTTATTAATTTGAATTTTATTTTATTTTTATTTAAGAGTAATTTATTTGATCATTAAAATTTTTTTTGGTTTTATTTATTTCAAGTAATTCATCTTTATGATACTTTTTGGAGCAAACTGTTTTCCTGTAGTGGCTGATATTATCATTTTTGATGACTCTCTACAAAACTCTTGTTGCTTTAGAATGGTGACAGTGGATTTCTTTTCATTATTTCTTATGCAGAAAATTTTCTTCAGCCTCCTGGAAAGGCTGTTTGACAAAAAAATCAGCTAAACTCTGAACCATTATGCTAACCCTATCAAATGATAAAGTGTTCTGCCAGCTCCACCCCTGTCCTCCTTGATGCTGCACCTCCAAAGTAAGTGATGGTTGAGGGTTGCCATGGAAATGACACAGACAGTTATTGGCAAATGAACCGTTAAGTCATTTTGTCGCTAATATCTCAAAGTGAAACGATTCCATATTGTTTCTTTAAAGGATTGTGCTTTTTTCACAATTTAGTCTAACAAAAAAAAATACCCCAAAGACCACTTTATACACCCTCTTTTTTGTCCTGCTGAAATGTTTTTGAAGACTTTTCTCCTGCAGGTAAGTGACTTTATACCCCGCCCTGTATACTGCCATGTCAATGGCATGTTCAGCTGTCATTACCATGACAACCCGGGGAGGAACCCTGACTGCGATTTGCCTTGGGCCAGGAGGGGGGGGGGGGGGGGGGGGGGACGTAAGTGCCCATGAAGACAATCAAAGCATTTTTACTCATGGAAGCAGTACTTAATGCACTACTGTGCCTGTGTGGGTTTTCTCCGGGTACTCTGGTTTCCTCCCACATTCCAAAAACATGCATGGCAGGCTGATTGAACACTCTAAATTGTCCCTAGGTCTCAGTGTGAGCGCGGATGATTGTTTGTCTCTGTGTGCCTTATGATTGGCTGGCAACCAATTCAGGTTGTCCCCGCCTGCTGCCCAAAGACAGCTGGGATAGAGTCCAGCACACCCGCGACCCTTGTCAGGATAAGCGGATTAGAAAATGGATGGATGGATGCATATTTTGTCAAGTGGCTGCACAAAATAAAATCATCTGGATCAGATACAGAAAAAAAATATCTTGATCCAGATGATTTTATTTTGTCTAACCACTTGACAAAATGAAACTGGGGAAAATTAAGAAAAAAAATTGTGAGTGAAATGTGTGTGTGTGTGTGTGTGTGTGGGGGGGGGGGTAATTCTGTAAATAAGTCCCATTGTTACCTAGCAGTAGAGTGAAAGTCCAGGAAAGATCACTCGCAGACACATTTTCAAATTTAGAGACCCAACTTTTTGTATACAAGCAATGAAATAGCTATTTTCTCCAATAACAAGTCCCTTTTAAGATTATCTCTCCACTTAATGTGGTTGTCATTGATTTTCCTCAGTGAGTCGATCCATCATTTCAAAGAGCTATCAAGTCAATCTGTAGAGAAATTTAATCCAGCTGCCGCACCAACAACACTATTCTCCATGCCGGATAATCAGCGTGCTGCTCTTCAATTAACCAGCAAGCAAATTAGCTTCGCTCTGCCTTTCAACTCAATCATTATTGCTAGTGATTGCAACCATCACCATCATCATCGTCATCATCATCAGCATCCCAAAAAAATACCACAAATACTGAAGCATTTCTTTTTTGGATGTTGCAGTAGTTATAGATTGCTGATTAGCACACGAACCCGTGCTTGCTGCAAGGACATACTTGTATGGCAGTGAATCCATTAAGTTCCAGCCACCCCCCTAAAAAAATAAAAAATAAATTAAAATACTGCACTGTTACGCATTTATCATAAAGATTGGGAGGGACTATATCATTTTTTTTCAATCATGAAAAGTAATACAAGAGAATATATAGAAACTGGGTGAGTGTAATTACTGTATCCTGGGACATGTCGACAGTTACGGTAACAACAGCTTGCATGTTACACTATTCCTGGTCATTTTAACACTCTTCGATGTAACACGATTCCTAGTTGACTACTGTTGAAGCATATCTGTCAAGAATTCACGACAATTTGGATCGCTAATCTTCATTGTTATGAAATCTCTGCTAGCTCTTGAGCCACTAGCGGCTGGAGGGGCTAGCTGCCACAGCTACAAGCTAGCAGCACGACACTGTTGAAAACAACAAGCCAGCGTTGGCTTACACCAAACAACCAAACTCCATGTGGACCCTTGCTAAAGCCTACATCTGTTTCAACACTTGACTCATTTGGTGCTGCAAGCCCTTGAGTGTAAATACTCGCACAGAATTGCGAGCTACAGCACTACCATGAGTAGCGCTGAGTCACTAAATTCATCGCAGTGGGCTCCAATAGTGTAGAGTCGATAACTGAAATGCAACTACAACTACTGCAAACCGATATTTTCACTTCATTTCAGTTTCAGCATTTCCCGAAGTTTGATAGAATCTGACATTTTTTTTGGCTTGCAACACAAAGCAAAAAGCATAACTTGAAAAAATATATGTTAGGTTACTGTAAGTCAAGGTACAACTGCATTTTTAGTCGTTTTGCTGATATTGTAGGCTCCCCTGTCTCTGTCATTTTCCCCTTTCGGAAGAAGCTCTCCAAAGGCATTTGTTTTTCACTCATTTCTGCTGACCCGTGACTTTACTTTGTTAGTATCGTGTCACATGACCAAGATGAGCAGTTCGCTGTGCGTGCAGAGGCACAAGTGGATGCACCTGGTGATTCTGAGAGTAATATACACTGGATATATTTTTTTTTCAGTCAGCACCAAATGGCCCATGGGCCGGTGGTTTAGGACAGCTGTTGTACAGGGCGTACAGCAATTAGCCTGCAACTACAAACTAATAAAGCAAACAAGGAATGGGGGCTGTCGGCTCCTCCGAAGGTTAACGTGTGCTGTTGCTGAGATGCTTCATTGATTTCTGACCGATTCCAGTCTCGTTACAGTTCATAAGAGACTCACTGTCTCCATGGTGACCTTTTAAAAGTAGCACCAACCCTTGATATTGCCGCTGCACTTCACTGGACTCGCACTGGAAAAGCTGCAATCATCCATCCATCTATCCATTTTCTGTACTGCTTGGCTTCATTAGCTTGGGCCTATCCCAGCTGATTTGGGGTACACCCTGGATTAGTTGCCAGTCAATCGCAGGTTATATATGAAACCATTCACACTCACATCCACACCTATGAACAATTTAGAGACTTCAATGAACCAAACGTGCATGTTTTTGGAATGCGGGAGGGAGCCAGAAACCCATGCAAGCACGAGGACAACAGAAATTCCACACAGGTTAGAACTGATATTCAAACCCAAAAGCTCAGAACTGTGAGGCAGATGTATTCATCACAAGCCAATGTGCTGCCTTCAAGTGTGGAAAAGATGACTGTCTGAGCTCACTTATGGAGAAACGGCCAAGCAGCTGTTGAACCCGTTTGAATCTTGACCCTAATATAGACGTTCCATTCACCTTGATGAGTCGTTCAGCCTGTTTAATTGTTTTAACTCTGTGAGAGTCGAAACTTGCTTTTGACTTTTGACTTTAACCAAGGTTTTTATCTTCATGACTTTTTGGCTATAAACAGAGAAACCCAATCTACCCTACTCTCAGTGCGTGGCAATGCGGGGCCCACTTCTGGAAAAACCTAACGGAAAAGTCCATCCTGGAATCTTTGTTCCATAAGTGGATAAGTGGACGACTTCAGCTTCCTCTGCATGCTTTTGTTGGACAAATGCAAAATCAATAAGGCTCTTGCTTTGACACAGGAGTGTAAATTTGAAGATAGTTTCAAACTGTCTTCCCATTGAGAAATGAAGACTCGACATCCTGACTCAGCTATTCCTTAAAAGGGCAAAATTATAGAACTTTCACCTTTGAATTGCTTGTAGGCAAACAGCCGTGTCTCTGGATCAAGTGTGAAATCAAACAACCAAGTAAATATTTTGTCAGCTGCCAATTACTGCAAATATATATTTCGAGTGAGCCGTTTTGCTGTCACTATTTGGATAATTGAAATCAATTTCCACACCCGGACGAGCTAGCTAGCTTGGTTGAAGAGCCAGAACCACTTTCAAGCAACATCTGATAGATTTTTATGATA